AATATTATTGCATAGTATAAATTGAACATGGGTTGTCATGTACAGTAATTAGAAAATTTTCATGAACATTGAAGTCAGACAGATAATTATGCAACTATCTAGCGCTCATTTAAGTTCTGTAGATATTATTTTATTAAAATAATATCTGCAGAACTTAATTAAAGGAAGTTCTACATTTAAGATGATCAAACCACACAATAGAAGATGGAGAAGAGACTTCGTTTCGGTTCGTTCTGGACTATCATCACACAATTTGATAATGGTCTAAGATGGACCGAAACATCATCGCTTCTCCATCTTCTGACGTGTTGCTCGGTCATCATATCTTCAGCCATGTTATTGTGAACATTTAAGTTTTACATTTAATTTAATATCTGCAGAACTGTTATTAACTTAATAGAAGTTTTTTATATGAAATCTAACAATTTCACCAGTTTAAAGTATGTACAGCCAAGTCATTTTTTTTTCCTCTTTGAAGATTACCCTTGGTTTAGGACTGGTATATTGTTTTAGTCAAGATTATTCAGATGTTAAAGTCAGGAAAAATATGCAGGGTGTTTCAAAACATTTGATACCATTTGCAATGTAAATACTGTATCTGAGTAACTATATTCTGTAGTCTAGGCAAATGAAATTAAACAGGAATAAATAGCAAAATAAGATTTATTCATCAAAAATTTGAATGAGAACTTCAAAGGTATGTGAATGTCATGAACGATTTCACAGGTTTATAATATGCACACTGCCTCTGACGCGGCACACATCAAGTCGGTAGTCCAGTTCTTGCCAAACATCCTGCAGCATGTCTTGGGTAACAGTTTCCAGTGAAGCAGTGATTCTCTGCTTTGAGTTGCTCTAGGCTTGCAGGGGAAAGGGAAGACATAGACCAGTCCCTTCACATAACCCCAGAGAAAAAAAATCGCAAGGTGTCGGGTCAAATGAATGTGGCAGCCATTTCAACAGCACACTGTCTTCATCGCCAGCACGCCCGATACATCTTCCTGGCAGATTCTCATTGAGATAAGCCCACACAATGAGCTTCCATTGAAGTGGAGCCCTGTCCTGTTGAAAAATGAAGTGTTCATGTTCGTTTACAATGAGCTCATCAGTTAACCAGTTCTGAAGCATGTGCAGATAAACATTGCCGGACACATTTCCCTCAAAGAAAAACAAGCCATGTAGATGATTCTTGGAGATGATGTAGAACACATTCACTTCTGGTGAGTCCCTCGTGTGCTCCACTGTGGCATGAGTGTGTTCTTCGTCCCAAGTGCAAACAGTATGCTTGTTAACTTAGCCATTCATATGAAATGTGGCCACATCACTGAAAACAAGACGTTGTTCAATCTTCTCTTCTTCAAGTTTCTCATGCATAGTGACACAGAATTGCTTGTGTTCTGCTTATCATCTGTCTTAAGGCACAAACGAGCTGCAGTTTGTAGGGTGTCATTAGCAATCGTTTCCTTGCAACACACCAAATTGTCATTGGAGGAATCCGGGTTTCCAGACTTGCTCTTATCGACTTTCTGGGGCTTTGCAAAAAATATTTCCTAAACCCGCTCGGCCATCTCTTCCGATACTATTGGTCGCCATAGTCCTCTTGCCTTGCACAGACAGCCTTCCACTTTGAATTTCTTGTGCCATGTTCAAGTCTGCATTGCATTGGGTGTATTTTTAGGGAATTTGCTCACAAATGCACGCTACACAATCTTGTTCAACTGTGAGCGTACTCAAACTCAACTGTATACTTGAGCATTGAGCATTTTGTGCGTTGAGCAACAACACTCAGAATGCCTCTTCTTTTCCATTGAATGGCATTTCTTTACCTAAAATGAAAAAAAAACATTAAACATAGAATTTTTAATTGTTTCTACACATGCTGTTAAAATTTGAGATCATTTGAATGAGAATTGGTCAAGTTATTAGATTATAAACTGTCGTAAATTTTTCTGAAACACCCTGTACAGGAATATCCTCCTTTCTCAATGAATGTTAATTTTACATTTTAGATTAAGACTTGGAAATTGAAAGAGTTTAAGTTTCCTTTGCATTATGTGACTGTATTTGCTTTTATTGATATAGTATTGTATAAAGTTAGTATAATATGCAAACCATCTCTCTTATATATCATACACACATTATTACATGCATGAACTATTTTAGGTTTATGATAATGTAAAATAGTATATGTATGCCTAAAAATTACAAACTGTAAATTTATTTTTGAGTTTACTTTCATCCTAAAATCTGATTCAATGCATTATGAAATTATATTTGTTTAAGAATAATTTATGCTAAGCAAGTTTTCATTGTATCACATAAACACATTAATCAGGTAATTACCTAGGTAGTTACAGGATGAGTGCTATTCTCATGGTGTCCCATCTTCGCAGCTTTGAAACTACTGACAGTTTTGGCTTCCACCACATGCTTACTCATGTGGTGGAAGCCAAAAACTTAACTTACTCCAACCATCTACCATTATGTTAGCAAAAGTGAACTTTCTAATGTTTTCGCGGCAGCTTTGTTTCCTTGGTTTGAACCTGTGTCCGCTTGTTCTTGAAGGTGCAGTTTTCAGAAATTCTTTTTCAATTTAATCAATTCCTGTGGTACTATTTTGTAAATAATGATCATATCACTTCTATTTCTTCTATCTTTGGGCTTTAGTATACAGTATTTAATACTTCTGACCTCTCCTTGTAGCTCTTGTTTTTCAGTACCAGAAGCCATTTACTGGTAATTGCATGTCTTTGCATTTTTATAAGTTTTTAGATGTGCTTCTTGAGATATGAGCACCTTACAGAAATAGCCTAAGCTACTCTATCCCTTTGAGATATATTTCTTTCTTATCTCAATAAACATACGTGAACTTGAACTAGGACCTGGTTGTGCCTCACTGCTTGCTTGCCTTACTAAGAATATGTCTATAGACACTTGTTTTTCCCTAAGTTTTAACAATTACAGTATGTGTAGCGAGACATCACATTGTCTCACAGTGAATGATCTCTGTTTTTCCTCTATTGTCATCCTCACAACTATTTTCTTAAGTTGAACTTTACTACTGACTTTCTTGGAATCCATGGTGTGATATATATATAATAAGAACTTTTATGTTAAAAAAAAAAAAGCAAAAAAGCAGGCAAACAATGAAATTCTTCACAAAGAATTCAAGTGCTGCCACGGTCGTCACTACGTGGGATAGACTTGTAAACAAACTGTGAGTGCCTCGTCCGTGCCTCCAGCACCACGTGCTCATTCAACCCATACGAGGAAGAACAGACGTCGTCTTTTAAGTAAACGTCGTACACCAATTCAAATTTTACGATGAATTTGAAGTCGTATTCCAAAAAATTCGTACTCTAGAGCAGTCGTCAACCAAGGTTCCACTATATACTGTAATTACATACATATGTGGGCTATATTGTATTTAAGAACAATCTACAGTGTTTAAAATTACATGCTACATAACTAAAGCTAAATTTGTCACCATTATGTTCAGAATTTTGCTTATACAAGTAGTGTAAGTAGTTTGCAGTATAATATAGAATGACCCAGTGACAATTTATTAAAAGGAAAAAATGTCATACACCCAATAATTTTCACATTTTCATCTAGACATTCATGTGTACTGTAGACTATTTTTATGTCTTTATTTATGTCCCTGACCTCATACTTCCTCCTGAGACCTCTCCATTGGTGGGGGGGGGGGGAGGGGGAACCAAAGCAGATGTTTCTAGGAGCTTCTTATCACCACACAAAACTTTTACTATTTCAAAATCCTTGACCTCTCCCACTACACATTCTTTTAAATATTTTTGTTCATTCCTTCTAAGATAATAGTTATCTGCCTCTACCATATGGTCTCTTCCCCCCACCCTCCCCTATTGCACCCTTCTCATTAAACAAAATTTTCTTAGTCATTCTACTAACATCTCCATACCACCACAGTATACTGTGATGCATCCATTCTACAACTCTGTATTTCATTCCCCTCGCCCCTTTCACTCATGCCGCATCTCGTGTATACTTCCTCATTGAAATACCCATCTCAAATACATTGGCTGCAGCCCTCAAAAAATGAATTTCTATGGCTTGTACTCTTAAGCAGTCTACCCATTTCCATATACAAGTTTCAATTAGTTTCTCTGGTCTTTTCCCACCAACTCTGTTTATTGCAAAACATGTTACTATTCCCATTCCTTCATCATTTGGAACCGATACATACAATATTCACTCACCTTGTTGATAACATAATACACAGATGTAAACATTGTTCCCAAAATATTTTTCACTTCCTTTACCACTCTCTTTGCCTTCCTATAACTATTTTTACCCTTTCTGGAAAATAATAAATTTTTTCTTATGACCTCTATACATTATTCATATCTATATTTAAAGATCTGAATTTGGAATTTGACTGACTTTGGTACAAAAATAACTGTTTCCCTGAGTACAAAAAACTAATAGTGAATACACATAAATAAACTGCCATTTAAGACTAGTTTTAAAAAGTGACTACATTAAATATTGGAAGTATGATACATAACACAGTTCTCCTGTTATTAAATGGCTGGTGGTAAATACTGGAGCCAATGCTCTAACTGTGTTTTTAGATGTACTGATCATAGCTTCCACTCAGTGTGAGCTAAAGAAATTTATTATAAGGTTTTTATAATCCAGTCATGTTTATTTTTTCAGTGTACTCTTAGTGTAGGTTTATTATTTTTTATTTACATTTTAGCTGATATGCTAAAGCTTTTGATTTAGATTAATAACTTTCTATATAAAATAGTGAACTAAATATTCTACAGTATTGTAATTATTTTTCTCTGAGTATTTTGAGATGTACAGTGAAGAGTATCAATAAGGATGTTCCCATTACCCTTGTCATTAGGGCAAGACTACAGGAAATGTACATTGTAAGTACATAGTTTTTAAGTGGCTCTTAATTACTTAGTGCATGACTGTATAACCCTGAGTAAGACCGACATACCCTACAGGTGGTGCTGAGCCATACTGGTCAGAGGGTCAGCAGTGGAGGAGCCATGGGACTTATGAAGGGACATCTCAACAGGAAGATTCACAAGTGTTCCTACTGTCCTTACACCACCCATTGTATCATAAATTACAAAAGACACATCTCCGTCCACACGGGCGAGAAGCCATATGCCGCAATAACTGCTCTAACAGATCTAATCCAAATGATATGATTTGCAGTGGCACATTGAGATATAAAAGTATTTAGAAACTATTTTCATTAAAAAGTCTCTCTGGAATTAAGACAAGGCTTTTGTTATACAGGTATAATTTAATGTCTTTTTCATTTCAAGGGGCACTTCTTTTGTTTGTGTCACTGTGTGTGCTAGAAATGCAGTGGATTTGAATAATTATTTAATGGTAAGTTTATATCATTCAAATCCTGTTTGTAAAATACACTACCCTTCAATCATTCATTTATTTCAAATTGATTTGTTAACTTTTTAATTTAGAATTTTTATTTCCCGTTAAAATTACCAACTGTAAAAATCTGTTGTTCTACCTATTGATATATTCCTATTGTACAGTATAGTATACCTATATAAAGTTAATCTATTTTATACTGTATATATTTTGAATCAGTCACTGGGCTTATAGATATGCAAATATGCAGAGGCAGTTATGATTTATGATAAAATAATGAATTTTATGTGGAAACTGTGCAGGCAGCTTCGTAAGATCAGACAGTCACTAACATTTAGTTGATTTGTGCAATTGCTATAGTTTTAAATCATATAAAGAATTAACTACCGGGTATTTGTCTATTTTGTGATGATACTGAATTTATCGTACCCTCCAGCTAATCGTAATTTGAATGCACAAGTTAAGAAGTAAATTCATTTTAACTATTGTTCTGATATGAACATTTTATTTAAAAATATATTTTGAGATTTAGAAAGTTATTGATTTACAGACTTTTTAAGGGTAATTGTGAAATTTAAATTGAAATTCCATATTAAAAACAATCGTGATTAATTTGAATATTGAAGATTTGTAGTCTATCTTCTTGAAACTTAGTTTGGTTAGTATATGTGTTATGAATTCATATAACATATATCAGTTTTCCCAATGAAATCACACTAAAGTGATATATATTAGTGAGAAAATCAACTTGAGCTCTGAGGTGACTCAAACCAATGACCCAGCCACTCACCTTACCACTGTGCCACCCAGACTTGATGAAATTATACATCTGGGGTTCCACTGAAACCTCTGGAAAGTCTGGAGGCTTCTACTGAAGCCAGTCCAAGTTTTACATATAATGCCCAAGCACTCGAGTGCTGGTAAAGTAGTTCATTCATCACATCCCCCACCTTCAGATATAATACACAATGAAGTCACACTAATGTGGTATATATCAATGAAAACATCAACTGAGGTTCTCCTGTGACTTGAACCCATGACCAAGACACTCTCGGCCTCTCACCCTACCACGGTACCACCCTGATGTGGTAAAAGTTATACAACCGGGATTCCACCAGAACCTCTGGAAATCTGGAAGTTCTACTGAAGCCAGTCCTGGTCTCTGGACTGGATTTACCAAGACCCGAGAGTTTGAGGCTTATACGTAAAACTTGGACTGGCTCCAGTAGAAGCCTCCTGACTTTCAGAGGTTCCAGTGGAATCCCAGTTGTACTGTATAAATATTACAAGTTGTGGGTGGTACAGTGGTAAGGTGCGACTGGGCGTGCCTTGGTTGCGGGTTATTGTCACCTCAGAGATCCAGTTAGTTTTCTCATATGTCAGTTTCAATGTGGAAAATTTAAGCATTTTTCAGTTTTAATTTTAATCCATTGGATGCTTTGGTGTCAATATGCATTCCTTGCCCTCGGTCCAGGGATCTTGCTCAGCAGATCAAGTTGAGCAGGAAGTAAAAGCATTATTTGGCATCAGCATTATGTAGGTTGATCCTTATGAAGAACAAAATAACAATTGGTTTCTAGTACTGCAGGTCATTAGCCCTGTGTTGTAGTCTAATTTTTTTTTTCCAATACACATCTATAATGAAGCCCAGTATTTTAATTTGTAATTAAAATTATATTAAAATAAAATTCATTCATTTAGTACAATAATTTATAATATTGTGCTAAATGAATGAGATCATATAATGTTGTACTGTATTGTGTTTGACAAATGTAATTTAAACATAATATTTATATTTTAAGTATTGTTTTGTCATGTAATTTGTTCAAAATTCCTCTTGTATCAAAACATTTTAAACAACTTAGACTTATTCTCTACAATGCACTACTTAAATGTACATAATAATAATAATGAGCTATAAGCTCATTGTAGCCTATATGCATTAAGCTATCTATTAAGATGCAAACATATTCTCTACCCTCCCCCCTATTCTTATACACCAGATGTAGCTTAAAATGGGCCTTATCATCTTACTATATGTCACATTAATTCCCTCTCTGCTGACTAAACTATTAGACTGAAAATCCTGGCAGTTTAAAATAGGATAGAAAGTCATAGTAAAATGTGTATATTATTATTATTATATATAACATATATATTATTTTCATGAAGTGTATAAGTATTGATATAGGTAGTGGTACATACAGTACAGTATATTGTTAGCCACTACCACTCCATGTCATTATGTAGTAGTATGTTGTGAATGTAGATATCCGAGAATTTCTCTACACACGGGAGGGGTGCAACCTAATGATAGCTATGTGGATGTCATGCTGGGTTACAACATTATTCTGTAGTTAAGGTGTATGACCAGATATGCCTGACCTTGTTCCTCAGTGTATGATTGGGTGTGTAATTAAGGTGTATGACCAGGTATGCCTGACCTTGTTCCTCAGTGTATGACTGGGTGTGTATGACCAGGTATGCCAGACCAAACCTAACCTACCTAGCCAAACCAATTTAGTAACTACTCGACCACTAGACAAATATAAAAAAATTGTGTTTTATTAATATTAAATAGTTAAAAAAATACACTCAACCATCCAACACTATAAGTGTTTGATGGTTCTGAAACCCTGCATGCTTCCAACACCCAGCAACACTTGAGGAGAATTTTTAGGCAAAGATATTTCATCAAATCTTTGAACTTGTTGAGAATCACAAATGAGATCAATGGCTCTTAACATGAATGCACTTTATATTTCTTATGTTCTTCACTTGAGAAGGAAGTTGAAAAATAAACTCTGAAGTTAATGTTACAGTTTTATTATGGTCTGACAGTAAGAGACGTGTTTTGTTGACCTTGTCAACATTGTCAAAAGCAGAATACAAGTGAATACAATCTAGCTGGTGCAACCAAATACTGTATATAACCGAGGGTGAGGTGAAGGGAAATGTCGCAGTGGCCAATAGGGCCACTGCAGCTTATCATGTCCTATGTCCCCATATTGACTGGGACAGTATGCACTCTTGGTCTCAAAGATGCTAGAATGTAATGGAGTGTTAGCTAGTTGTTTATTGTTGGGTGAGTTTGTTTGATGTGTAGTGTTTCACAATGCTGTCTGTTGCCCCAGCCAACATTGCAACACAGCAGATGGGTAAGCTGCAGTGGCCCTATTGGCTTGTGCCACATTTCACTTCACCTCACCCTCGGTTATACTGTATAGTAGATTGCACCAGCTAGATTGTATTCATATCTACTGTCTTTTGAAAATGCTGACAGGGCCAATGAAACACATCTCTTATTGTCAGACCATAATAAAACTGTAAGCTGAACTTTGGAGAGTTAATTTCTCAACTTCTTTCACAAGTGAAGAACATTAGAAATACTAGTATAGAGAAGATTCATGCTTGAATTATTGATCTCACTCTTACTATCATATTCAAAAACATATTTCAACAAGAAAGACTGCTAGCAATATACAGTATATATATATACAATATATATATTGGTGTGTGTAAATCACGAAAATTAACACATGATGAAAAATGTGACAGTGTCAGACCATGGAGGAAGAATTGAAACAGAAAATTCCTTAAGTACTTTCGTATATTAATACATCTTCAGAATGAATGAAGAAGAGAGAGAGATAAGAGAGAAAAAAGCATATCTGTGTCTTCTAACCCACGACGGGCTCTTACCAGCCCTATCCAAAAAAACCTACATTACGTCCTCCTTTGATGGGGTGATAGACAGCCGAAAGGTCTTAATAAAACTTATCTTTTCATATATTAATACATTCCTTCTGAAGATGTACTGTATTAATATACGAAAGTACTTGAGGAAATTCCTGTTTCAATTCTTCCTCCGTGGTCTGACAATGTCATATATATATATATATATATATATATATATATATATATATATATATATATATATATATATATATATATATATATATATATATATATATATACACACATACACATATACACATATACACATATACATACATACATACACACACATATACAGGGTTTATATGTATCACTAAGAACTCTAATTGACCCGGCCAGTATTTGAGCCCATGCCGTCCAGGATCACCCCTAAACGTACACGGTATCATGACCACCGCACCAATGATCGTCTATAAGGATTGGTCAGTCCTTGTGCTTATTAACCCTTACACTGCTCAGGGGTCATATGGACATTTACACCCCTGTGCGCAAGAAAAAAAAAAATTCAAAAAAATTTTTTCGTCTTCTAAACATGTTAATTTGTGTCCCCTGAGCACGGAAAAAATAAAAAAAAAATCGTAGGTGACATATTTTGGGCGCAATTGACCGAGGAAGTCTGGCAAAAAGTGGGCGTTGACAGAGCGGTCGTCAGACCCGGTCAGCGTCACCCGCGTTGACAGATGGGAGTTGCCACAAAGATATTATTACCTAATTGTTTCAATGTCTCCGATTGATTTTTTCTTAGTTTTTTTGCAGTAATATTATTCAATAGTGTGTATTGTAATATATTTATATAATAAAAGTGGTTAATAATCGCTATACTCAAAAGTATGATGTGCGTATTAGTGATTCAATTATTATGTTTATAAAACAATAAACAAATAGTTTTGCTGCTATTACACTCTATACACAGGTTATATATAAGTATTGGCATGTTTTGGTCACCATAACGAACCACTAAGTTGGTATTGAGAGTCGAAAAGCAACGAGGAGTTACCGCCACACACCAGCCAGCCACTCACTGCCACTCCCTCAACACACGCACTAAACTTTCTCCCCCAACAATACCAGTTGTGGTGTTATTACACTATATACAGACGTTATATATAAGTATGAGTATATTTTGTTCACCACAACTGTACAGCTAAGCTGATATAGTTAGTTCAGGCACTAAGAGTCGTCGCTATACACAGATGGCGGCTGGCGGCTCCCTCACTCTTTCAAGGTCACACGCACTAAACTTTCTCCCCCAACAATACCAGTTGTGGTGTTATTACACTATATACAGACGTTATATATAAATATCTACATGTTTTATGCACCGTAACTGTACACCTAAGCTTGTAGAGCGCCCAAAGAGCATAGTGGCCACCCTCTAAACAGCTAGAGAAATCGTGCAGACGACGTCACCTCCGTCACCCATATGGCTCCTCCCAGCATAATCCTTTTGCTGTTATTACACTAATACACACATTATATATAAGTATCTACATTTGTGTTCACCATAGAGAACCACTGACCTAGTATGGTGAACGCAAACAATAACAGGTGGCCACACAGTCAGTAAACGATGCTGTCTCCCTCCGTCTCTCAGCATCACTCCTCACACAGCGCTAATTATTACAACAATCCTGCTATTATCACAACCCTGGTTATTTATATCACAGTCATTGGTCATCTGTAATATTGTCATCGCTAAATAATAACAATTATATATTTATTTTGACATTTTTCGGCGATGCTGTGGGCACAAGCTGAACATCAATGCTGTTCGCTCATGCTGCGTGCGCCGGCCTTGGTTGCTCCAACAGTACTGTGCCTCTCACACCTGAGAATATTGCCCACGATTTTTTTTTAAAATGGCATCTGTTTACAAGAGCCCTGAGGAAGCTACTGTGAACCCCGTGTAGCCGCGGGCCATTTGAATCAGGCCTGGCACCCTATGGCGTATATATACGCCATGCGCACCATGGGACATGTTACTCAGGGCGTATATATACGCCATGCGCAGTTTAAGGGTTAACTAAGCCCCACGACTGATCAACCCCCGACGACACTCATGGATCCATTTGGGTACAGTTGTTCATCAAATTCTGGCATATGCACGGGCCACGCTGGGTTTTACAAATGTGAGAAAGCTGCAGGAACACGCAAGCCATAGATCACTAAGAACTCCAATTGACCCGGCCAGGATTCGACACTCATGTACCCAAATGGATCCATGAGTGTCATCGGGGCTTGATCAATCATGGAGCTTAGTTAATAAGCTCCAGGACTGACCAATCCTTATAGATGAGCATTGGTGCGGTGGTTACGGTACTGTGTATGTTTAGGGGTGATCCTGGACGGCATGGGTTCGACTCCTGGCCGGGTCAATTGGAGTTCTTAGTGATCTATGGCTTGCGTGTTCCTGCAGCTTTCTCAATATGCAAAGTAAGGATATATGACATAAGAATAATAGGAGGAGAGCTTTGGGCCCTCTCAGGTCATTGCCAAGAGCTTGACTGTGAGAGACAGAGAGGCACCATAACCTGTGAGGGTCGAAAGTGCTCTTGCTATTATTCTTATTTCATATAGGGTTATTACCTAGTTATTCCCCCCCCCCCTCCCTGTGTATTAGTGTAAGTACAGTATTTTATTGCTAATGTTATACCATGAATTTTGTATGCATGTATTATTTTATAATTTGTTTCAATATTATATTGAAGGCAGAAATGGGTGTTTTTGTCTAAGCTCAGTCCGTCAACTGTTGTTTGTTTTTTCCCGCCATCCCTGCTGAGGAAGGTCCACGCTACTAGAGCCATGACTACATTACATCTTACTTCACACATTGTTTCCTGTAGACATGGTCTCAGTTGATTCACATCTACTAAGTGCAGATTAAACTAATAACTCACATTGTGTGACAGTTAAACATGCTGAATAATGGGCATGATGATTAGCTAGTTTATTCACACGGACTGTGCACGTCAAACATTTTTGTTATAGCTCCCTTTGGTAGCTTTAAGGTTATCAGAAAGTTGGCCATGGTCATCGGTACAGTACTGCTGTGTTATTTAAGGTTACAATTACAGTCCAAGGTTAATGTCCATATTACCAGCATAAATATAACTATATTCAGTGAAATAGTTATCATTATTACAGTTTTATTTGAAATGATTTGACATTATCTCAAGGTAGATCTGTGATGATAAATGAGTCGAAGATGCAGCGTTGATACACTGCACACTTGCCATCATAGAGATTAGCCTAACTAGCCAAGACTAACTTTACTTCCCCATTGAAAGCTGATACTTGTAACTTGTTGTACCTGCTGGAGCTGAGACTCTCAACTTGCTACTCCTGCCAAAGCTGAGATATGTAGCTTGTCCAACTGCTAGCCATGTAGGCACCTATGTGAAGTATTGTACAATTGATATTGTTTAATAAATTTGACATTGTTGCCATCATGCTGTGTCTCCTGACATTACACCTTCAAAGATTATTTACAATAATAAACATCTTCATATATGTCATGTGAATTTTTATAACATCCAGTGTACATGTTTTTTTTTATCATTTAAGTTTAATTTTATATACAGTACTTTAGAGTCATTATAAAATTAACATTAGTGTATTTTAACAATAGATCATGTATTGTGAAATAAACATAACAAAGTTTAGCCACTGCAAAACAGTATTCAGTATTTAGCAATTCAAAATCTAAACTATCCATTGAAATTAAAAAGAAAAATGAGGAACGTGAATTATGATGCTCACAACAAAAATACAGTAAATACACAGTCGAGGCTCAATATTGCATGGTGCTGTAAGGTATTACACCTTGCACTGCTGTGAAGAAAGTGACAATGTTTATATAATATGTAGTTACCTTACTATGGAATATGATTAAGGCATGGTAACAAGCTGAAGAACAACATGAACAGCTGGTGTGGACGGCTGTATTCCACACTCGCTCAATGAACCACCTAAAACTTAGACTGTATCACTGACAGCTGCTGCTAAGGTTCAATTTCAACTCTAATTGTAAAGATTTAAAATGAAATAAATAAAATTGGCAAATAAAGATACAGTATGTGAAAAAAAGGCAAATGTTGCTGTTTTTCAAGTACAAAAGAGAAAACCACCACTATCATAACTGCTACTACTACAGTCACTACCACTGCAATGACAACCACCACAACTGCTACCACCACTGCTGAACCTCATTCTAAATAGTTATAGATAGGTAAGCATTTTCACAACCATTAGCACTACCATAACTTCTACCATAATTACCCCCACCAGTACCACTACTGACAATATTAACACCATTATTGCAGCCATCATCATCCCTACTTCCTTTACTACCAAATCCACCCAGTGTCTATTGCAGCACACTGTAATCATTGCATTCCCTATACCGATTGCTCAAGTTATTTTGTAACCTGAGATATGATGACCTAGATTACACTCTACTAATTACTCTGCCCTTAGCTCATTACACCATTCTCTATTCCTTATTCCCTAATTCCCTTCACTATTTTCTATGTAGTGATTATATTGCCTCTTTATCTTCTATCTTCTAGCTTTGGCATAATTAGCACCATTAACCTCTCCTCATAGCTTTTGTCTTTCGATTCCAGAAGCCATTTTGTTGCATGTCTTTGCTTCTTTTCCAGTTTGTTGATGTGCTTCTTGTGATATGAACACCATACAACAGCTGCATATTCCAACTTTGTTCTCACATAGGTCATGAATAATTTCTATAATATTTTGTCTTCCATGTATTTAAAAGGAATTCTGAAACTGGAAAGCATAGCCAAGGCTCCTCAAACAAATGTGCTTTAGAAGGTCCTCAGGTGACAGTTTTCTGTTTAGAACCACCCCTAGGTCTTTTTTTATAACAATTCTTTAAAGCTTTTTTCACATAATTTGTCAGCATCATCAGCAAACATGTTCATATAATTCTGTATCTCTTCTGGTACGTTGTTTATGTAGACAATGAACATTACCAGTGCAAGAACTGAATTCTTTGGTACTCCACCAGTGACATTTCTCCACTATGTTACATCGCCTCTGATTACTGCCCTCATTTTTCTGCTAGTTAGAAAATTTGTCATCAATGTTAGAAGCCCCTTGTCACTCCTCCAGTATGGTTAAGTTTCGAGA